CCCCAAAACCCCAAAACCCCAAAACCCCAAAACCCCGTTTTAAGTGCGAATAATTGAAATTGAGAGGTTAAATTAAACTTGGTATGAGGAAGAACTATGGAATTTAGCAATGCTTGATTGTGGTATTGTGTATTTAGTATGGTCTGGAAGGAGAGATATAATAGATGAGTGTGACTATACTATGCTGACTCGCCAAATTCTAACTAGGAATCAACTAATTACTCAGCTTGAGGAAAAATTAAAAATGAATAAGCTAGAAATAAAATCTTATAAGAGTCAGATCACAAATTTAAAGGAAAGTGAGCAGAAATTAAAAGAGAGTGTACATAGTTTAGAACAAAGTAATAAGTCCATTAACTCAGCTATGAAATCAATTGAAGAGAACAAGACTAGTATAATTAAAGACCAGGAAGCTACCATTGAAAAGCTAAAGACCAAAGTTAATGTAAGTAAAGTTTCCTTGATTTGTACTGTATTTTTAAATTACTTGATTCCTACTCCAAACCTCAGAAATCTGTAGGAAGAAACTTTGTCTAAATGATAAATTTTGTATAGAATCAGAAAAATGCCTTAGGAGACTTACATAGATGAATAGATCATAAAAAATTGCTTGTTTGAACAGCGGAAAAGAAAAATAGAGAATTGGATTTAAAATTAAAAAAGATGACTAACAAATATCGGCAGATTGATACTTTAAACACTTCGATACAAAGTAAGGATATTCAAATAGAACAACTTAAGGCAGCCCTATTAGAAGAACAAAATAAGAATAAAAAGTTTAAGGTTAAATCAGAAGAACACCTTAAGGTATGCCAAAAACAGAACCAACTTTTTAAATTAAACAAGGCTTTAAAAACAATTTTTGAAGAAATTATTCCTATAAATAATAGCTATAAGAAAATAATATGTTTCCAATTATTGATCTATAAATTACAGTTCAAAGTCTTTGAGCTGGAGAAACTTGTCTCAGATGGCCAAGTTCCAATTTTTGAGGATCCTCCAATAGATTTTGGTCCACAAATAGCTAAGATAAAATCTCACTTTGAATGCCCTATTTTGCTTGAAGAAATCGAATCCCCTGTGATATGCCCTTCAGGACACACCGTCGATCTCAAAGTCTATGAGCAATTGGTCAGAGATGGAAGGAAGGATCCTTTCTCTGGGGAGAAGTTGGGAGATAAGGTTGTTGTTAACAGGTTTATGGTAGCTATCAAAGAAATCTTAAACCAATCTAATAGCATGGTAAAAGAGGAAACAGAAGACCACTAGATTATGTATTAATTACTCACTTCAATAAATCCTTATCCAACCGGGGTTTTGGGGTTTTGGGGTTTTGGGG